TGAAATCTCACCCTGTTATATATACTTATTTTTAGGAGAAGAAGAGGGAAAGAAGAAGGTTGAAGCTTCAAGAACCAGACACTAGAAATCTTTGGACTTGGGGTGATTTTTATAATGCATGGTTGTTTTGCAATTTTGCCAACTATATGAAATTTTAGTTGCATGTTTAATTACATTAAACTATGTATTTTGGCATTTGAAGTTTCTTATGCCTAAACTAGTTTAAAGGTTTACATTTATACTCATTATTTAAGAGATTTGAGCTAGGTTAGCTCTATTTTAATTGTCAAATTTTGATTTTAATAAAAAGCATGCTTGAAAATAGTTTTTGGAGAAGTTATGATTTTTGCAAATGATCTTATTAATTGTTACATATGGGTAGACATCGCTAAATATTATGAATGGATGATTTCAGGTGAGAGATACATGTTGGCTGCTGAGGCGAGTGGGTACATGCCTAAGTAAGGAGTTGACTTCTCGCCAAGGTGAGCAACATACTAGTAGAGGCGAGTAGGGTTGTCTTGCTGAGCAAGGTGATAAGCCACATTTATTATATATTTTTACTTATTATTATTGACCAAAAATCATGTTATATTTGCCCAAATTGTACACTTCTTGCTTTGATTGTTATATTTCGTGCATTAGGGCCATTTTGATCATAAAATTATACTTTTGAGAAAATTTGTCAAGATGAATTTTTAGTGTAAAAGAACAATGGTGATATTATATTTTTTAAATTCATTTTATATTGAGAGTAATTCATTTCACAAGTTAACTGTTTTGAAAAGTTAAAGTTTCAAGTTGACCTATTATCTTTCACTTCGGCTATATCATTTTTGTGCATGCATGGGCTTACATTGTTAGGGCTATAGGTCACGCCATTTACCCTCTTGTGTGATGTCATAATTGATTTTTATTATTTAATTGCATTGTTCTACATATTAGGAATTAATTTTAATTGAAAATAAAATTATTATCCATATGAATTTTGATCTTATGTGTCACATTTATTTGTGTAGGGTTACATACCTTGGATTTGGCACATGAAGACTATTGGATTGGAATAATTGATGAGTCAAGGGGCAAAACATTTGAGTTTTGAGGTGAAAGTACAAGTCTTACATGGTCATGCACACATTGTATCACACTTCGAATCCACTCACTCTCTTTCTCAATTTCCCATTACCTTTAGCTTTATTTAATTAAATTTTCTAACTTTTTTATCTGAATTTTTGTTCATTTTACCATGATAAATAATAAAATTACCCAAGCTTATTTTTTACCCATTTACTTAGCACTAGAGTTGGGCCTTTCTACCCTAAACTTAATTCAAACTACCCTAATTTCATTTTGAGCATTTATTCTTTCATTCAGTCTCATTTTTTCAACCTCCACCCTTTTCCATTCTCTCTCCATTGTTCTTCATGTTCTTCATCTCCATCTCAACTTCTCTCCTCCATATCCCATGATCCAACTATCAAAATTCTAATTCGACTCCACCATTCTTTTTCTTCCACCTCACTCTTCAAACCCTAAGCTTTCTTTTCTTAGTTTGGCTTCAAAATCTTCAAGGTGTTCTTGAGTATGGTTCAGCCATGGTGAAAGGACTATGGTTAAATGGGTTCCAAGATGACTAGAGGCTAAATTTACAAGGAGTGCTAGTAGGGAAGGATGCCAGAGGAGTCTTCAAGTGTCTCAAGAAAGGTTAAGGGTTATGGCCACTTTTCATTAAACATAAGTTGATGTAATCTTGTCCTTAAAATTAGGAGCATTTTTATATCTTGTTTTTATTGACCAAATTGGTATTTAACTCATTGGTTTAGTGTTTTTCCACTTGATTCTCCTTTGTGTAGTTGCTAAAAATTTTCTCCCATATATTATAATTCATATAAATATATGTTTTATGTAATGCCCTTTACTGACATTATCATGTGCTCCATTACAATTAATCCTAATCAATTCAAAATCATTTAACTTGTAAACTTTGACAACTTTGGGATCCCAATAAAAGATTTCCAGAAGTCATTTTATAAATCACTTGGGTTATAAAACCCCACACATAGTGAAAGCATTAAGTCTAAGTACATCAAAGATCAAGAAAACATGTGCAAATCAAGAAAATTAAGTGAAATTTAGCACTGTGTGTCGCAGCTCGTGCCACATATACTACAACATGTGGCACAAAGACTATAGCCATTTGCTCTGTGCCGTGTGCCGTGACATGCGGATACATGCACTACGCTAAACACACCTAATTTTGCTGTCATTTTGCAACTTTCTAGGACGAACTTCAAAAGTGTGCCATTTTCACATCTGATGTCCGATTAAGGTGATTCAATCGCCCACACGAAGCTTATTTTGAAATCTAACTAATGAAACTAATTCCATTTCAATCTGATTTTTCTATCAAAAATTGGACACCCAAATTCATTTTGACTATTTTTTGCCAAAATTTTTCACTTAAGTGTCACAATTCGAAACCAAATGTCATTAGCCACTTTTTGAGCCTTGACCACATTCAAATGGACAATACATACCTGATTAACCATACACATGTACAATATAACACATATACACACATTTGGCCTATAAGCTACCCATATTACTTTAGGCTAAAATTACATTTTCATTCTTTCAATCTCATATAAGGCCAAATCGTCACACATACACTTTAAGCATCTCATTTTCTCACACATATACATTTATTTACTAATCCACTCTATCATTTCACCATTTACATATATACAGGGGTTAGGAGACTCAAAATCATCAAGCATATCATAACTGTAACTTAATGCACATATACTGAATCCGATAGCAACTTATACACACTCTTAGCTAACAATTTACAAAATCATTATACCAATTCTTACGAAGACTTAGGCGAGCAATACTAACTCTGCCTATGTCCTTCCACTTTGACCTACTAGTGTCGGAACCTAAAAAATATAAATAACCATAGGTGAGATAAAAATCTCAGTAACTAATATAGTTCATTAAATGCCTATTACCACAAATAACCATGTTAAAGTAATAAAAATCATAATGCAGCATTTAGATGTAGTGTATCATAGCCAAATCACTACTTTTGCATATAAATCATGTTTCAAACACTTTTAAACCTTAGCATGATCATTTATCCACCGATCTTCTAAACCTTCCCGACATGAAACTATAAGCTCTCATGAATCAACCACTTATTGACCCGAACACACTTTCAGTGGTAGAAACACCTGGCCAAAGGTAATCTAACTCGCCTATGGACTATGGTTTTCCTCTTCATACACTTGTGATAAAGGCATCGTTGACTCTTAACCGTACCCTAACAGGCACTAGGGAGTTGCCAGATTGCCTGGATATCCTATGGTAACAATCCCATAATATGCTATACCAGATTACCTATGGTAACAGCTCATATAATGCTGTATCAAATGTCCCATGGTGTCAGCTCGACCATATAGATTTTTCACTCACTTCTCCACACACACATAACCCCATATATCCTAGATAAACTCTTACCCCCTATGATCATGCTCTTTTCACAATTTCCACTACTCATTCACATTTCCACAGCATTTAATGTCATATATATATATATATATTAATTAATTAAAATCAACAACCTTTCAAATCATTCCGCAAACCAATGTTCATACTAAAACCATTTTTCAATAACCAATTATGCATAAAAGCTCATAAAACAACAATTTCTCATTTTGTATTTATTTCTACACAATTATAATATTTAATAAACATAATAAACTATATAGTTACCTAAACTTTTTTATCTGATAGAAAGATTTACCCATGTCACTTCCCAACTCGAATCTCTCTCCTCTTATTTACTCGTCACACACTAAAATCTACACAAAATTGGCAAACCAATGTCAATCTTACTATTGACAAAAGTGCCAATTATCACAATTAAATACCTAATCACTATCATTTCCACAATTCATGCTTGATTACACACATTACCACTGATTACCCCTTATTACCAACTTTAACCTTTCTGGCCAAATTTTCTCTCACTACTCTCTCTCTAGATTAGGGCAAATATTGCCTATGACTTCAAAGCTTTATCGTTCCTATCCAAACTAATCACAAAGTACTAGTTTAGCTTTATAGAACCTTTCTATTTTATGAAAAGAGTCCGGAGACACTTAGATCATGTCATTTAAATGTCAAACGGAGATTTGGGGCATGTCAAAAGTTGCCCGATTCTGCTGTCAAACAACAAAAGAATCTACTATCAAAATGTGCTACACACCATAGCGCATTGGCACCTGAGCCAGGGCGCATTACTCTGTTTTTTAGCAAAATTGATATTTTTCAATTGTTTTCAATTTTGTTTTACACATCTAAGGTATCACATGCTCCCGTAACTTATCTTTACTCTGATTTAAGAGTTAATGAATGGTTTGAACTCATTTTAACTTATGAAAACTTGAGATCCCTTATTTTGAAATTTACAACTTGGTAATCCCTTAAGGGTTAATTCCTTGATTACCATGGATTTGAATTGTTAATTGGGTTGGTAAAGAAGATATTTCAACATACTATCAAAGTGTTTCAAAAATAAAGATAAGTCTAGCTGAAAGACTTCTCTTTAAATGAAATAAGATTAAGGACAAGTCTAAGGAAAGTCAAAAACTTAACCTAGAAAGAATCTCATAGAAGTAAGACTTAAAATTTCAAAAAATTCTAACTTATTTCAGAGTAGGTAAAAATGCTTGGGTATAAGGATAATGAGGAATTAGAATTCAACAGATACTAGACTAGTTATCCTTAAATGCCATTAAATTTCTTTGTGAAACAAAATCTTCTCTTATTTTGTGATTATCAAAACCAAGGCTCAACACCTCTTTTGGTAACCACCATTATTATTTAATTAAATAAATAATTATTTAACCTTAATTAGGCCTTTGCTCTCACTATGCCCAACCAGACAATTATTATTGTTATTGTTGTTGTTGTCGTTGTCGTTGGAGAATGAAACATACTCTAATATCTCTAATTAACATTTAAACTCGAGTATTTTTCATGAATCATTATTTAAACATTAAAATTTCAAATGTCTAACCTATTTTACATAGTAGTACTGTATATTGTATAAATATCATTGTTCTAAATGGGAATGAAAGAAACATATACAATTATACATTATCCATAGATATGGAAGTGTCTCTATACCTGATACCACATTAATTTATTCCTTTTAACTTAGATGAGTAGTCCAATGGAATAAATCAGCATGGGAATAGCAGGAAAGAAGGCTCCACCACAACCTTCTTCTTCTTCATCACAAACTTAATCCTCCTCAACTTCTCATTGCACCATATAATGTGTTCTTTTCTCAGTTTTGACATATTCAGTACCCTTGAAACCAGTTTCAGCTCAACCTGAGCAAGTAATTGCTCATGATTCAGTTGATCTTCTTGTTGCTGATGCTTCTGGAACTTTCTCACTATGCAGTTTCCACTTCTCACCAGGTCTTTCAACTTCTTCTCCTTCTGCAACATTTTTATCCCCAAATTCTTGTGTAAGCCTCACATTTCAATCATAAATTGCTTGACAGCAAATAATATTTCAAGATATACAACATCAATAATGTAGTTTATTTTTCAAATTTTGTGTAATACATGGAGTAATAATGTTTTTTTTAACCAACCTCAAATAAGAAAACTATCTAATACAAGTGGTATAATATCCTACTGATCTCTTCTCACATATGCACACTTCATTCTAATGTGGAGATTGAAAGTGTCACTTTAAATAATTTGGGGTCTAAAAATATCATATTAATTAGTAGAGTCATACGCGCGCGCACTTCAGATTTTGTAAAACTAGAAAAGAATCACTATGCATTGCACGGGACACTTGGAAATTATAAATGTTTCATTTAAATTTTATTTCTTACAATGAAATTGTAGAATAATAAAATATAGATTGTAAAATATTCTTATTAATAATATGCATAAATTAATAAAGAATGATGGAAAACATTATAAAAATAACAGAATGCAAATCAATCGGCAATATAATGGGAGAAGAGAATTAATATTAAATAGAGGAGTATATCTTATATATATATATATATATATATATAAGTATTCTCCTATACGAGACAATTTTGTTTGGGGATATCTTTTTAATTATTGAATTTTAAAAATGAATAAATCTTGAAAAGGCAATTATCAAATTGGTGAAATACCCTACTTATCTACACTTACATATGCACGCTTTTAGCTTTAGTTTTTACTAGCAGAAGGAGAATTTTGATTGTGAACTTGAAGGTGTTGAGCAGTTTAACAAGGAAACGTGCACTATGATACCAAATGGGGAAACCACCGGACACAAGTGATTTCCAAGCAATAGCCCCCTTTCAAAATTATGTCAAATCTAAGCTGTTCGTATCATATCTAAATTTAATACGAATCATCCAAATTTAATACAATTTTATTTTTATATTTTTAATAAATTATTATTTTAATAGGTACAAAATTTAAAGTAAAAATAAAAATATAACTTTAGATCCCTGTACTTTACTCGCATTTTGATAGTCCTTGTACATTTTTTTGGTATTTTAGATCCCCATACTTTTATTTTTTTATTGCTTTAAATCCCTCTATGAATAAAGTGTCTCACTTAAAACAATGAAAAGTAAAAGTGTGGGGATATAAAATACAAAAAAAAGTATAAGAATTAATAGTAAAACACAAGCAAAGTGTAGAGATTTAAAGTTATATTTTTTCAAGTAAAAATAATCTTATAATAGTAACTTTGTTATAAAATATTGAAAAAAAACATAACTTCAGGTCCCTTGATTTTACTCGAGTTTTGTTATAGATGCTTACACTTTTTTCGATGTTATAACACTGCTCATGGAAAAACCTAAAACACCCGGAAAAAAAGGGTGGAGACCTAGGATATGGAAAAAAAGTGTAGAGATCTATCGCAAAACTTGAGTAAAGTGCAGTAATTTAAAGTTATATTTTTTAAAAAATATTTATTTATATGACAAATTACAAGTTAAAAATTTTAAATCTGAATAAGTAAAACAGTTTTAAATGATCTAGATTTCACCACAGTAATTAATGTTCGCTATGTGAAGTATTGGTGAAAGCAAACCTTGTGAAGATGAGCTCTAATGTCTTTCACAAGATCAAAGATTGCAGGGTCTCTGCTAGGAACAGTTCGAGTTGGCTGGGAAACTTTGAGGATCAAATTCACGTCTTCTTTATCTGCTCTCACAAATTTCCAGAACAGCCGCATTGATTCCTTGATGATTTCTGCTAATCTTGCACTGGAAACTACATATTCTTGATCCCCTTTAGTAATATTCCTTTCTTTTGCACTATCATCTGCTAAAGCAAACATAACAGTGTTACTCTTGAGCTCATCGCATGCGCATGATTTAAAAGGTTAATCAAAAATTTAAAATAAATTAAATACACTAATTCAAATATATATGAAACCCTCGTAATTTGCGCATTTTGAAGTTTTATCTATCTTTCATATTGCTATATTTTTTATATTAAGTATGCTTAAGAATAATATATTTTATCAAAATAGTTTAAGTCATTTGATTAGATAATTGTTGAAATTATATGTTTATGATTTATTTTTTAATCTTTAAATATATAACTTTTTTTATATTTTAATATTTCCTCTATTACTTTTTTCTCTCCCTCTATTTTTTTTTATTTTTCTTCTTCTTCTTGCTTGAGCTTGTACTTTTTTTTTTGTTAGTCTCAAATACCTAAAATTTATTCAATTTCTTCTTATTTTCATTCTCTCATTCTCTCTTTTTTTTTTCCTTTTTTCTCTTTCTTTTTTTGTAAGCTTTGATACCATGTTAAATTTTATATATACCAATAATTTAAGCTATTTAGTGAGATACATATCTAAATTTTACCCTATTTTCTTCAGTAGACCAACCTTTTCTTTCTTCCATTGCATAAATCTCGTTAAAATGTATCAAAACAAGTGATCAAGCGTCTAAAATGATCAAGCAGTAACAGATGCAAGAATCAAATTCTCAAAATTTCTCAAATAATTAATTTGACTTGGCTTGATTTTAGCTGATTTTATTGATTTTTGAACTGTTGATTTATTTTTTAAAAGAAATTTTTTCTTAAGTTGATTGATCTTGAAACCTCAGCTAAAAATCAATTCATTCTTTTTTTTTTTTATCTAACTAGTCAATAGTCCGATTCAAGTCAAAGATATAAATAAAAATTTGGCCCAAAAAAGATATAAATAAAAAAAAAATCCATTAAAGCACTCTTTCATGAAGGTATAGGTAAGAATGGAAAAGTGAGGCCTACATGAGACCTTCATGTATTATCTGAAAATCACTTTGGAGCCCCAAAATAAATAATCAATGATAGTTAAGTTTTTGATAAAAAAAATTTTATAAAATAAAATATAAATATCTATTTAAATAATCTGAAATTCAAACTTGTAACTGTCTAAACCTTACTTATAACTCATTTTTTAAAATAATTTTGTCAATAACCTAACTATCATTAATTAAATTTTTAAAACTTTACTGTTATTCTCCGTAAGCTCTCTGAGTTCATCTCAGAATCACTCCTATTAACAATTTAGATTCCTCATATTATTAATCATAATAATACCACACCGGGGGGGGGGGAATTAGGGATCATGTAACTTACTTGTGGAAATTCTACGTGCTTGTATGAATAGCTTAGAATATGTCTCACAAAACACCCCCCCAACACACGCGCACACACACACACAACACACAAAAAGGATGATGTTTAATAATATACCTCTAATGGCAGGAACTTGGAGAAGATTGCGAATGACACAGCGGTTCTTGACAAAGTTAAGAGTTCTGGGGCCTTGAAACGCCTCATTCTCTACGAATCTCTGCAACAGAACCTGAAAGAGCTGAAACTCACCAGCAGCTACATTGAACTGAGGGGGAGCTACTTGTGATGAATGATTTTGAAACTGTTTGATGAGTTGTAGAGCTTTCTTGTGGAGCCAACACAGCATTTCCCATGAGAGGCAAACCTGTCCTACGTACACCACTTCAAGATCTCTCTGTAATTCTTGAACCAACTTCATCAGTGGACTACTTTTTGGCTCTTTTCTTGGCCATAGACTCTGTGAGATTAGCGGCTTCAATCCTTTGAAGCTTGATTTTGCAGAGTCTTTCAGTTGCAGAAGACCTGCGTGTATTCGCACCGAAGTGTGTAAGAAAGGAATGAGTTTGTGTGATCAACTTTGCACTTACATGCAAGCTTGTTTCGTTTTTTTTTTTTTTAGGGGGGGGGGGGGTGGGAACAAACATGCTTGTTTCGCTATATATACCACTTATACCACTTGAGATGTTAGAAGTTCTTTTTCACTGTATCATGTAAGATTGACATGTTTCTTCAGGCAAAGGACAATTTCATTCTTAAAATATAAATTCAGAATTGTCTTAAATCCTAAACTTATTTTTAATATAAAGTTTCCTTTCAACTTTACAAAAGTTAATTTTGATTGGTAGTTGATGTAAAAATTATAAAAAAATAACTTAAAAATTACAGAAAATGACCAAAACAAATGCAAAAAGACTTAAAAATTACAAATAAGAACCCTAAAAAGTTATAAGAAAGGACTAAAAAAATTTGTTGACTTTTTATATAATTTTTGAAGTCTTTTTTTATAATTATTTAGTCAACTAATGGTAAAAGTTAATATTTATTGATTGTAAGGGTAATGTTATACTGTTCTGAAATATTGAAGTCAAACATTGCACATAAAACGAGCAAGATCCTTAAAACTTTGGAATATGTAGTTTAGAGACAAATTTATCATTTAATCCTATTTTTTAAAAAAGCAAACTACATTTGTAAATGAACAAAAAATTCTTGCCAAATATTAATTCAACAAAAAATACAACTAAATAGTAAATAGTTGGGGAAAAAATTGATATTTTTGTAATGTGTTTGTTTAAAGTTTTTTTTTATATAATAAGTGTGTGATTTTGCAAATAATTATGTTATTTTGCCTGCATAGCAAAGTTGAGAGGGATGAATTTGTCTAATTTCAAACAATAAACTAAACAGCAATGAGTTTATATTGTCTTTCTAAAGATTTGGAATGGAGAACATCCGACATGTTTTAATGTCTTTGTTACTAAATAATAATAATAATAATAATAATAATAATAATAATAATAATAATAAATATTCTATAAATAAATATATGCTTTTTATATTTTAGTTTTATTTCATTGGTTTGGGGAAAAAATCATGCATGTCTTATTGAAAATAACTGTACAAAAGCTTGAATTTTTTGATAGATACGAAAACTTGTATTTTAATTAAAGCAAACATCTATCATGAAGATGCAGCGTCATATCATCATCACCATAATAATCTATTGGTATTCAATGGTGTATTGATTGCCATAATAATGACAATGATAAAACACCTGCTCAAATGAATAGTAAATTTACAGTGATAATTGATTTCATTTTAATACAGTATATTATAATTCATAATTCAAATTTAATTCAAAGATCAATCAAAGTCATATTAAAAGATTCAGACAAAAAATATTAACAAAAAATAGTTAAACTTATTTTTTTGTGCCAAGTTGGTAAAATTATTTGTTTGTTGAAAATTTATTAAGTAGACTAAATCTACTCGAATTAAGTAGGTAGCACATATTAAAGATGGAGTAACATTTGGCACATTTTTGGCCAAAAAAAAATTTATATTTTTCTTTTTATTCTACTTATTGAGGCAATCTTTAAATATAAAATAATGAAATTTATTTATATGTTTATTTACACAATATTTACATTTCCTTTGCTTGGAGCATAATTTATTAAGTTCAACTTAGTCAATGCTAAAGCAAGATATACAAATCCATCCATCATCATTATTGGAAACTTTCTACGCCAGAAACGGAGTAAACTTTAATTAATAAAAAAATACCTTTGAAAGCATATTTAATTAAAAATAGATTTTTTTTTAATTGAAAATAGATTATTGTGGTTAGAAAATCTGCTTTAAAATATGATTAGATAAATATTTTAAGTGCATAAAGTAGGCCTATGAGGTGAAAGAAAAAGATGTTGAGTGGAATTAAAATTCTGCCACTAGCAATAGCTTTTTCAGGAAGTGGGGAAGTATGAACAGAACAAAGGACATGAATATCTCTTTATGAGCACATGATTAGAAAAATATGGTGGGTGTAAAATTCATACAGGTCCACCCTGCAAAAGAGAATTGTACCCCATGAATGGCCTAAAATATACATTCAATTAAATTGACCTAACATTGACAATTAATAATAACAAAGACATGTCCTGAATTAAGTTATTGAATATCATTATTATTGTCATTATTATTTTAAAAATATCAATATAAAGCATAAATATGGTTCATTTGGGATTTATTCTAATTTAATCTAAAATAGAACTAATACTCAATCTTAAACTTATTTATAATTTATAAATATTGATTTAGAGTTTGAAAACTCAATAAATTAACAAATCAATATATATATATATATATATATATTAAAATTTATAGCAAGCCTTATAGTTATAGCTTATAATAAATGTGATTCATTTATTAAATTTTATATAATGTTTATTTTGAAAAAAGTTAATAGAAAAGTGCCAAAATGGTAATGCGAGAGATTAAAATTGGAAAGATTATTTGGTGTTGAGTTCTTACCTAGTCCATGCATGGTCTGGTAATTTAAGATATCCAGTTTCCTCATTTTCTCTTCATAGATCTGATAAACTTCCTCAAGTTCATCCATTTGATCCTTAAGTTCTTCGTTTTCTTGATTATTTTGAAGATTTTGATCTCCAACTTCTTCTGCATGCTCTGTTTCCCCTGTTTCTCCTTCTTCTTCCTCTTCTTCATCATCATCATCATCCTCTTCTTGTTCTTCAATAATTGTGGAAAGTCCACCTTGTCTTGCATTTCTCAACTCAATCTTAAGCTGTTCCACTACATCATCATGTTCCCATTCCATTCTCCACTCATTTCCCACCTCATGTTCCAATTGTTCCATCATCTTCCTCCATTCTTCAGCTTTATTTTCTCTATGAACCATTTGGTCTTGTTCTTCATATGATCTTTCTTTTTCCTCAGGCTTCCCAGATTCTTCAGATATTTCCCCTCTGGCTGCAATAAGACTTTCTGATTCAAGTCCTTTCTGAGAATTATTGTTGCAACCTAGAAGCTTATTTGCTTGGGTTTGCTCTGATGTTTCCTGTTTCTGGGAAATAATTTTAGCGTTATTATCAGAAATGACAGGAACATTTGGACCCACAAAAAATTCTTGGAAAGTGAATCTCATGGATGTAGGTTCCTCCAAGAACCCACTGATGTCTCTGTCTGACACGTATTGATATTTTTGTGTGGTCGTAGCAGAATTTGCCTCCATTAAAACACAGCTTGTTTCTCTTTCTTCGCCTTCAAGATGATGAGACTGAACCTCCATTAAAACAGAACTCTTTGATTCTTCTTTTCCCTCATTTTCTTCAATATCAAAGTGAGCCTCCATTGAAACAGGGCTCTCTATTTCTCCTTCTTTCTTATTTCCTGGTAAATCACAATGAACATTCAGTGAAATAGAGGATTCAGATTTTGTTTCTTTCTTCTTCCCATCTTCTGGTTGATCAAATTGAACTTCCTGTGAAACACATTTCTCTGCTTCATCAAAATGGTCTTCCGGAACAATGATTTCTGTTTCTGTTTTCTTTTCATTAATTTCATGTGAATCTGAGTGAACCTCCATTGAAACAGAACTCTCTGTTTCTTCTTCTTTCTTATTCTCCTGAAATTCACGGTAACCCTCCATTAAAAGTGTTCCTCCTTCAACTTTTTCCTTCTCATCATCAACATCAGAGAATATGTCCTCTATGAGTAAAGAGCTCTGAGTTTTCTCTCCACCAATTCCAAGATCTTCAAAGACATCTTCATGGTTCTGAAATAGAAAATTAGTGAGCTCTTCTCTGAACCCATCAATCTCACAATATCTCTCAGTCTTCCCATCTCCTCCCACATGAAAGCTGAAACCAAACGACGAAGGGAGGGTTATCCAGTAATAATCAATCAAATTCTCGGGAATCATAACAGCAACAATAATTCAATTTGGGAAAATCAGCATACCTGGAAACGAAATTGAGAATCACCCCAAACAAACAAACCACATAGTTACACAGGAACAATCGCAGAGAACCCAGAAGCCAAATCATGTTCTTGTGCAACAATTCCTTCAGAAACCAAGTATTGATCGAATCAAATTGGGTTTTAAACAGAAACACATTTTTGGTAGCCATTTCCAGAAAATCCTAACTAAGGCAGATAAATAGATGCAGAGAAATCGGAGGCAGAGTAAGATCTGGGAAGAATTTGATTTGGAGTCCCCGAGGCAACATAGTAGGAAAACAATAACTTGTGGGTGTTCTTAGATTTTCACAGAAGAGGACTAGAATCTGGTCTCAGGGAGAAAGAGAGGAGAAGAAAACAGAAGCAAACGATAATTTAACTGAAGAACTTTGCAGGACATGGTAGTGATGTGGTGGTGGTTTGTGAAGGTTCAGATATGTGAGGACTTGGGAGAGTGAAATGGGGGTGGTGAGGTGGAATCACCAGTTTGATTTGAGAGAGAGAGAGAGAGAGAGAGAGAGAGAGTGAGTTTCTTTTAGCATTATTTGATGTTTGTTTGTTTCGTTTGTAATTTAATTAGTCGGTGGTGTTTGGATTTCAGTGGAGAAGTGGGGTCATTTCTTGCACGTTTGGCAGCTCTCAAAACCCTTCTTTCTAGGGTTGCTAGAGTGCATTTTTTTCCCCCTTTTAGTGCAACAAGCCAAAGAAAAACCTTAAAATATATTATGACACAGCATGTTTTCTTTTATTTGAGATAACTTGTTTACGGTTTCGTTTGTTATCAGATGTGAATGCATTTTTTATTAGAAATTCAAACTTTGATTTTCATTAATTTCTTCTATTAAGCCAAACCAGCTTGCTAGTAACCATTTATATATGGATTTAGATTCATTGACTGGTAACAAATTTTTCACACAATGAATGTTTTACATGACATGATTCTAAGTTTCTCAATTAATAATTATCAGAATTTTCAAGCGTAAATTGGTCAATTTAGATATATTATTAATTAATGAGGTTTATGGGAAGCTAATATAGTTTTTGGATCTTTGGATAGTCTTAAAAGAGGGCTAGAGTTATGTTTGAGAGTTTGTCAAGAGTTTGTCAATGTGCCACGGCGCACATGCAAAATTAGCACTTATCAGTTTGCAAAACGCATCGAAAATAGAAGAGAGAAAGAAGGAAAACGAGAGAGCAACAGAGAAGAGCTTGTGATCTGCTAGGGCACGATCCCTAGGCTATTTTGGAGGCATTTGGAGCTTGAATCACCATTGGGTAAGTTGCACATTCCCTCTTCTCCCTCCTTATGTGAAAAATCTGGACATTTGGGGCAATGGGGGCTTTGATTTCAGTTTTTTTGGATTTTAGACTAAACCCATTGATTTATTTAAGGTCTTGGGGAGTTAAATCAAACCTATAATCTTAAGTTTATGAGTTTTATGGTGATTGAGAATTTTTGGTAAAGATTTGGATGAACTCTAAGTATAATTTGAGGATTTTGAGATAATGTGGGATATTGGTTAGTGAATTTGGTGTGTTGGAATGTTTAATGGGATGGTTAGAGTATTTGAGAATGGTTGGTGTTGTGAGAAAAGAAAATTAGGTATTATAGGCACTTAGAACCTAGTGAATTTGGAGCTAATCGAAGTGATAATTGATAATTGTCACTTGATTGTGTATATTGAGTGTTGCTCGAGCCTTATCATACATATAGAACGTGGGGAGCTAATGTTGAGCCACAGTAACCCTTTTTGTGTGACAAAGGGTAAAGGTAACCATATAGTTTATTGTGTTTATTAACTATTATAATTATGTAGAAGTAAATATGAATGATAAAGTTGTGGTTTTAAAGAGTTTTGTACAAAATTGATATTGTAAATGATTTTAGCATGAAAAATCAATTTGTAAATGGTTATTGCTTTTAATTGATATGTATATATTATGTACATAAATTTGTGATGAAAAGTAATGAAAATTATGAAAGAGCATAATCATAAGAGGTGGAAGTTCACCCGAGATATGTGGGGATGTGTGTGTATAGAGATATGTGAGTAAAAAATCTATATGGTCGAGCTAGCACCATGGGACATCTGGTGCAGCATTATATGGGACTGTTACCATGGGACATCCGGGCAATCTGACAACTCCCTAGTACCCATTGGGGTGTGGTTAGGATTCAACGATGCCTCTATAATAAGTGTGTGAAGAGGGAAAAATAATAGTCTTAAGTGGGTTAGATTACCTTTGGCTGGGTGTTTCTACCACCGAAAGTATGTTCAGATCAATAAATAGTTAACCCAGGAGAGCCTATAGTTTCATGTCAAGGAGCATTGGAGGTTCGGTGGTTAGATGATCATGTTAGTGTGAAAATTCTGTTTTGTTGTGAAAAGATACTCTTATCTTATAAATATGGTATATTTAAAATTACTGTAGTTTTACTACTTTATCATGGTTATTTGTGATAATAAAAATTTGATGAATTATATTTGTTTCTGAGATGATTATCGCACCCTGTGGTTATATTTTTAAGTGAGGGCTCCAGTAGGAGCAAGGGGAAGGAAGGAGCGTTTGAAGAGTGAAGAGCTTCGTTGTATAGCTCTTTCCTTTTTTTTCTTTTTTGGTATTATAACGAATATTGCCACTATATATTGCTAACTTAGAAACATGACATTATTTTAGATATCACTTGTATGAATTTATGATAAGTATGTATATCTTAGTCCAAGATTGATGTTGTGGATTGAGTGTGTGTGCTTGGCTAAGTTACACTCATGTGTGATATATATTTCAAGTATTTTGAGTGCCAAAATGACCAATTGATTTGTGTGCATAATTTTATTTACCCCTTTGAGTTATTGTCAAATGAGGGTTTGGTGGTTATTTTGAGTATGTTCGCTTAATTGTGTGATGTGAATTAATTGTCATGTTGTGTGTGCTTCATTTAAGGTGGTCAAGGTGTCTCTAGGGCTATGCCAATTGGTAATGTGAGTTGGATACCATTATATGTGTTTCGAGGTGAAAACGAACCATTTGGGGTTCGGGTGTCTATTTTTTAAATGGATGATTATTTGAGTGTAAAACTAGTGCCATTAGCTAGAGGGCTTAAAGAGCTTCGTGTGGACATTTAAATTGCCTAAATCGAAAGTCGGATAGCGAAATGGCGCACTCTGAAAGTTCATAGGGATGTCATGACAACAATATGCTGTTATGATAATGGGTGCGCGCCAAAGCGCAAAAGGCCGTTGACGGACTTGTCCCTCTGTGCCATCCGCTGTAGCGAACGGAGTAGAATTTACATAAGAATGTCATTTTTAGCCTAATTTTTACATGGTTTGTTGCCCATGCTTTCGTATTTGTTCTAAATTAATTTTTTTTCCATAGTTTAACCTCAAACAAGATTTTCAAAAGAGTTTTCTTAGGATCTCAATGTTTTAAACTAATTATCTTTAAATCTTTAGGTTGTGATAACTTCTTGATGGGATTTTATTTAATTTTAGTTATCACAATGGTATGTGAGTATTATCCTGGTAATGTCAATGCGGACATTACATGTTAGAATTTATCCACTCTTTTATGTTGTTATGAATTGGGGTTTTAATAGTCATTTTGAGTGTGAATGCTTAATTGTGTGTTATGATTGAATTATTATATTGTGTGTGGCCCATTTGAGGTGGACAAAGTGTTTCTGGGGCTAATTGCAATTGGCATTGTGAGTTGGATACCTTTGTGTGCATTTTGATGTGAAAACAAATCATTTTAGGTTCAGGTGTCTATCTTTTAAACGAATGATTATTTGAGTGTGAAATTAGTGCCATTAGCTAGAAGGTTCAAAGAGCTTCGTGTGGACACTTGAATCGCTCAAATCAGACATCGGATGATGAAACGAAATGCTCTGAAAGTCTGAAGTGATGTTATGACAGCAATATACTATCATGATAGTAGATGCACACCGTAGTGCATAGTTGTTGCGCTATGGCACAAGAGGCCTTTGAAGGACTTGTCCTTCTGTGCCATCTGCCATGGCGATCGCGGTTTGCGTCGTGGCAGATGAGCCAGAATTTTTGAAAAGTGGCTTGTTTTAGCCAAATTTTGATATGGTTTGATTCCATATTTTTGTATTTGCTCTTAATTGATTTTTAACCATAGTTTAAGCTCAAACACTATTTTAAAAAGGTTTTCTTGGGATCCCATTATTTCAACTTTTTATCTTTTAAATCCTTGGGTTGTGATAACTCCTTCTTAGAATTTAACTATTTATAGATCACAATGGCGTGTAAGAATATTGTCCTGGGTCAAGGCGAAATTACATAAATCATTGATTTAATTAAATGGCTAAAATGCACTGTAAATTGGATTCACATAGGTGATATTTTTGGTCAAACTTAAGTTATTGTCAACATTTTTAATAATCAATGTTGGGGTATTTAATGTTAGGAGAAAATTTAATACGTTTTAATTACTTTAGCGGCAAAATTAAAATGTTTTAATTGCTATATTTTTAGTACTTTTTAAAATTTTGATATCATTTTTTATCATTTTCTTATCAATTAACCGTCAACATTAACTCTTGTTAAAATAGAGACTAAATTACATTATTTTTAAAAGTTAAAGTGAAATATTGTATTAAAAATGAGTTTAAGATTCCAAATGCTCTTGGACCTATAATTTAAAGGAGGATTTGCTCTTTTATCCTTAAAAAAAATATAATTTTTAGTTTATAATTGATTTTCACATGTACTATGAGTATTTGTATATATTTTCATAAAATCATGATTTTATTTTATTTTTAATTCTAGTTTTTAAATATACTAAAAGCATATTCTATTAATTAATTTCATAAATCAATTACCATAAAAAACATTAATAATTATATTTAAAATCAACCATATAAATCAATTACTCCTATATCCATAATAACTTTTATTGAATGTATCCATAATAAATTTTAATTTAATGAATGTATTCAAAAAGGTCAAATCTTCAACTTTAAGCTAACTAATAAGGTAAATAATGAGTTGAAACAAAATTCCAATCAATGTTAAAATATTAAACCATATCTTCACGGAAGTTGCGTGAACACAAATTGTATCAAACGCATAGCGGGACCTACATGGGTACAAGCAAGAAAGGGGCAGAAGAAAACATCATTTTCAAAAGACTAAATATTACTAGTATCCAAAAAAATAAAAGAGATACCAGATTTAGGCTGGCTCCAATAGTAAAAATTTTGGTAATTGGAATTCGATTCACAATTTTTATGTATAAATAAGTTAATTTGTTTGGGAGGGGTTCTATCGTTGTCTCATATTCCAAGAGAAGATTAGTCTTTCTTATTAATGGAAGATAATTCAAACTCACTAAAAAAGAATACTTACATATATATATATAAAAATAAGAGGGTGAGCAAATAATATATAGATATATATATATATATTAAATTAAAAGGAATTGACCCCCCTTAAATAAAAGGGTTAAATGGAAAATTACTTCTCAAACTATAGGTTTAGGAGCATATG